TCCAGGTTGAGCTGTTGTTCAGCATCTTAGCTGTAGAGGGCAGTGTCACTGGCCCTCATATGTGGGATCCGAACCGGGGCCCTCTGGCGTCCCAAGCCAACTCTTAACCAACGTGCCACTCGGCTGGCCCAAAATTCACCCTTTTAAAGTATATAATTAGTGGGGTTTAGTATATTCATAAAGCTATACAACCATTACCATTAATTCCAGGATGTTTTTGTCATCCCCCAAAGAAATCCTATATCCATTAAAATAAGTCACTTTCCATTTTCCCTGTCTCTGGCAATCACTAATCTACTTTGTCTCTCTATGGATTTGCCAATTTTGGAATTTCATATACAGTTGACTTTTGAAAAAGGGTCCCCTTATAAGAATTTTTTCCAATAAATACTGTGCATGTTATTTTCTCTTCCTTATGATTTTCTTAATATTTTTTTCTCTGGAGTCATTTCTTGTAAGGATACAGTATATAATACATATAACATAAAATAGGTGTTAATCTACAGTTTATGTTACTGGTACGGCTTCAGGTCAACAGTAGGGTATTAGTTAAGTTTTTGGGGAGTCAAAAGTTATACACAGATTTTCAACTGCATGAGGTGGGGTGGTCTGGCGCCCCTAACTCCTGCATTGTTCAAAGGTCAATTGTAAACGGAATCATGTTTCTTTCTTTCACTTAGCATGATTTCCATGTTAGAGCATGTTTCAGTACTTTGTTTCTTTTCCAGTCTGAATAATATTCCACTATGGATACATCACATTTTATCTATTCACCAACTGATGGACATACAGATTGTTTCCATTTCTTGGCTATTATAAATAATGCTGCTGCTCAACCTGGAGCTGGGCTGCCATGAGTCGAAGGCAACGGTGTAGGCTGCAGCCTCTGCTGCAGTGGGTTGCCATGGGCTACCGTGTGTAGCCAGCAGCCAGCAGCCAGCGTGAGCGGCCATCCAGAAGCTGGCAACTGATCTGCCTAGCCTGGGAAGAGCGCAATGATGGTGCCAACTTGAGCCAGTGAAGCAACGTCCTCCACAACTAGACTGAAGAACAAAAGGACAGCAACTTGTCTGTTCCACTTATCCGATTCTCCAACGCTGTTCCCCTTCCCCCAATTCCCCAATAAAAAAATCTATTAAAAAAAATAATGCTGTTATGAATATTTGCAAACAAGTTTTGTGTGGACATGTTTTTAATTATCTTGGTTATGTACCCAGGAGTGCAATTGGTAAAGTCTATGTTTAAGTTTTTGGGAACTGCTCAACTATTTTCTGTAGCATCTGCATCATTTTCCATTCCCACCAGCAGTGTATAAGAGTTCCAATCTCTCCACATCCTCACCAACACTTGTTATCTATTTTGTCATTGTACCCATGCTTTTCATTTTTCCATTGTAAACCATTCTAGTGGCTGTGAAGTGGTATCTCATTATGGTTTGATTTGCATTTCCCTAACGATGAATGATGCCGAGTACCTTATGTGCTTGTTAGCCATTTATATATCTTTGGAGAAATGTCTATTTGAATCCATTGCTCATTTGTAAATTAGTTTTTCTGTCTATTGTTTAATCTTAAAGGGGTCTTTGGATATTGGTCCTTTACCAGATACATGATTTGCAAATATTTTCTCCCATTCTGTGGGCTGTTTCTTTTACTTTCTTGATAGTGTCCTTTGAAATAAAGATTTTTTTATTTTGATTAAGTTCAATTTATGTTTTCCTTTGGTTGCTTATGCTTTTTGTATCATATCTCAGTCACTTCCTGATGCAAGATTATGAAGATTTATGCCTTATTTTTTTCTAAGTTTTACAGTTTTAGCTCTTAAGTTTAGGTCTTTGGTGCATTTGATTTTTGTAAATGGTATGCAATAGGGGATCTAAAGTCATTCTTTTGCCCATAGACATTAGTTGTCCTAAGATGACTCTATCTCCATTATTGAAAATCAACTGACCATAACCAAGGAATCTTAATTCTCTTCATTGATCTATCTGTCCCTCCTCATGCCAATACCACACTCTTTTGATTATTGTTGCTTTGTAGGCTTTGAAATCAGGAAGTGTGACTACTCCAATTTTATTTTTCATTTTCTAAGAATGTTTTGGCTAATCTGAGTCCTTTGCATTTCCACATGAATTTTAGCTTGTCCATCTGCAAAAAAAAAAAAAAAAAAAAAGGGCAGCTGGAATTCTGAGAGGGATCGCACTGAATCTGTCGATTAATATGGGAAGAATTGCTATTAGAACAGTATTAACACTTCCAATCCATAAACACTTCTTATCAATTATGAAGGTCTTCTTTAATTTCTTTCAATGATTTTTTTGTAGTTGGGGGGGTGTATGTCTTGCATTTCTTTAGTAAATTTACTCAAGTATTTTATTTTTTAATGCTATTACAAGTGGATGTTTTAACTTCCTTTTAGTATTGTTGATTGCTAGTGTTTAGAAATACAACATAAGTGATATTTGTCTATGGTTTCCTTTTCTTGTGATGTCTTTGTCTAGTTTGACATTAGGATAAAACAGCCTTACAAAAAAGTTAGAAAGCATTCCCATCTCTTCTATTTTTTGGAAGAGTTTGTAAACAATTGCTGTTCAATCTTCTTTAAAAGTTTGGTAGAATTAACCAGTGAAACCATGGGGGCCTGGGATTTCTCTTGTAAGTAGGCTTTCCTTATTACTAATTCAATCTCTACTTGTTATTGGATTGTTTTGATTTTCTTTTTCACCTTGGGTCAATTTTGGTAGTTTGTGTTTTCCGAGGAATTTGCCCATTTCGTCTAGGTTATCAAATTTGTTGCTATACAACTGAGCATAGTACTCCCTCATAATTCTTTTGATTTTTGTGAAGCTGATAGTAACGTCCCCATTTTTGTTCCTGATTTTAGGAATTTGAATCTTCTCTCTTATTTTTTTGGTCTAGCTACATGTTTATCAATTTTGTTGATCTTTTCAAAGAACGAACTTTGGTTCTGTTGATTTGTCTCTATTGTTTTCTATTGTTTCATTTATTTCCACTCTATTATTTCCTTCCTTTCCTTACTATGGGTTATTTGCTTTTCTTTTTCTAGATCTTAATGTGCACACTTTTGTTACTGACTTGATTTTTCCTCTTTTTTATTACAGGCATTACAGCTATAAATTTCTCTTTAAGCACTGCTTTAGCTGCATCTCATATTCTGACACATCATTTCATTTTCATTTCATTCATCTCAAAAGTATTTTCTAACACCCTCTGTGATTTCCCCTTTGACCCATTATTTATAAGTGTTATTTAATTTCCATATATTTGTGAAGTTTCCAAATTTTCTCCTATTAGTGGTTTTTAATTTCTATTATGGTCAGAAACTTACTTTGTGTGATTTCAATCGTTTTAAGTTTACTGAGACTTGATTTATAGAATATCATATGGTTTATCCTGGGGAATATTCCATGTACATTTGAGAAGAATGAATAAGAATCTACGGTTGTTAGGTGGAATGTACTAGAGATATGTGTTAGATCTAGTTAACTTATAGTGTTGTTCAATCCTCTATTATCCTCTATTTCCTTACTAATCTTATATCTAGTTATTCTACCCATGACTGAAAATTAGGTATTGAGGTCTTACTATTATTGCTGAATTACCTATTTTTCCTTCAGTTCTGTCAGATTTTGCTCCATGTATTCTAGGGCTCTTTTGTTGGGTGCATGTGTTTATACGGTAACTGTTTTATCTTATTGATGGATTAACCCTTTTATCATTGTAAAGTGTTCTTCTTTATCTCTACTGACAATCTTTGTCTTACACTAAAATATTTTAAAGAAAGGAATTAAGGTTCTGAATAATAGAAAAATATATTACCTGTTGGATTTTTAATTACACAGCTAGTAGCTCCATGAAGATCAGCATGTACATAAATGTCCCCTTAAAAACAAATAAGAAATGATACTTTAAATCCTGTTTTTTAAGTTAAAATTATTTATTCATTTATTGTTTAATTGGTTAATAATCTAAAAGGGATTAGAAGGCATATAAAGAAAAGTCCATCCCCCACCCCTAGGAGATTTCTCATAGGTCTCCTTATAGGAAAGCAATGTTAATATAGATTACAAAAATGGTCACAATTCCTCTTCCTCCCTCTACTCACACCTTTTTGTTCTGTGACCGTGAAATTTCTCCCACCAAGAAGTGGAGTCCACGTCCCTATCCCTTGAATCTGGGTCTGCCCTGTGACCTGCCTTGGCCACTAGAATGTGGCAGATATGACAAAATGCCAGCTCCCTGCCTAGGCCCTGAGAGGCCTGTGTGCTTCCTCTCTCAGAAATGTGCTGAGTTACCATGTGAGCAAGCCTAGGCTAGGTGCTGCAGGGTGAGAGACGCATGGAGCAGGTGAGTCATCCTAGCAAGTGCAAAAGTCCTAAGGACTACGGGTGTTTCACATATATGAAGAGCAGTCAGGAAGCCAGGCTGAAGGGAGAGTAGTAAGAAATGAGGCTGAAAAAGAAGCCAGGAGTCTTGTAAGACAGGATGAGGACTTCCTGTTTTACTCTAAGTATGTGACAGCAATGAATGAACAAAAGAGCAAATAGATGAATGCAGGTGTAAATGCTCAGCCAGAAAAAAGCAAAGCTCATGGTTCCTAATTGGAAAAATGAGCAGCCATTGCTTGCCGTAGACAGGTCATCTGGGATTTGAAACTCAAAGAATAAAACCCATACTGATCCATGACAGGCTCAGTTCATAATGAACAGTGCTAGTGAAGACAGAGACCAAGCCCTGGATACCACGTAACCCAAACCCTGTTGCGTTCTTTCCTGGTTGACATCAATGGACATCAAATTAGCTCTGACATTGATTACTGATTTCTGACACCCACACTGAGGGAGGGTTCAGCCCCTGTGAGTTGGTGGTTATCAGCAAACAAATAAAAATAAATAAGAGGCCTTCCACCACAGGCCTTAAGTACTGTTTCTAAATGTGAAAAAAAGGTTGCAAACTTCAGCACCTAAAAATTAAGCTTTTAAAAATTTGATCTACAATGACTTTGGAAGATTTAAAGCTATTTTGTTAATAGAGTTAAAAGTCCAATACTGCAGATTAATTCAGCATCACTACTTTAGGAATGCTCCCTTAAAATGAGAATTTAGTGTCACATCATAAACCATCAAGCATCAAAGACTTTCGACCAATTTGTCAAAAAAAAGTTTAAGATGAAAATCTACACTTAATATTGAGATAACTGATCAAATTACTTAAGAGAAAATTCTTTAGAGTTTTAATCTTACCTACCTGATGTCAAGTATCTTTTCACAATTATTTCATTCTGTTGCTGATCTCGTCCGCCTATAATCAGATAGTTTTCTGAGCTAATGAACCACAGAAATTTCTCAAACCTATCAAATTGAAAGAAAAACGTTAACATTTCTTTTCCTTTACAATTGTCTAAATTCACACCGTTTTTACAAATAAAACAAAACAAAACAAAACAGGAATCTATTCTGTATAGGTTAAGACAGCTTGATAGTTTGATTTTTCTTAAGGCATAAAGTTGGATTTTATGGAAAACTTATAATTCCAATTGCCCTAGGATATTCTTCAGACAGTCTGAGAAGAAAGAAGCTAAATTCTATGTTTCAAAACACATGTTCTGCCATTCTCTTCCTCTCATGTAAATAGCTTCTTAAACTCAAGGATAACTTATAACAACGAATTACACAAAGTAAAAGCATAAATGTCACATGGTCCCAAGGTACATACACATAGTTTTCTTTCAGTGGCACACTGTTTAGACTTTGGGACCACTGGTAAGAAAGAAACATTTTCCCATTCTGTCCTCAATTAGTCAATTGAATGTTTACATATATGACATCCTTTATACTTTTTCTGGCTAAAGACCAAAAATTGCCTTCATAAGTGTAAAATTTTAACTTTTTCAAGAGACAAAGTGATTTGGGTTTTCATGATTAATATGTACCATCACAATAAAAAGTAATGAGTGTATATTTGTATGACATTTAGAAAATGTGATGAACATAAATATGTCCTGTATTACATAGGACTACCGAGATAATCGTTTTCATGATTTAATCTACAATTTAATAACTTCTGGTTAAAGACGTTAGATTGAGAACAGGCATTAAACCAAACTCCCAAATTATAAGAGTAAAAGGATTTTATTTCTATTTTTTGAATCTGATTTTTGACTGAGTAATACATAGACATGGTTCAAACAATTTTTAATTATGAAACGGTACAGTGAAGATCCTGCATCCCTTTAGTTCCCACTACCACGTTCAAACAGGGAGCCACTGTGATTAGCTTCCTGTGTAACCCCCTCCAGAGTTTATTTAAATATGCAAAAGCTAAAGTAAAATGCTTACCCTAAACCATTTTTTAACACAACACACTGTTCTGCATATTGCTTTCTTTTATCACTTAAAAATATATTTTCCTGATTGAATCGATGCACTATACTTATTTAATTGCTTCCCTATTAATGATAAAGAGGTATGTAAAACCCACAAGGACAAAGAAAATGAGATAAATCAAGGATGTATTTTGTAATCATCCTAGTAAAGGAAGGTATAACCGGCCAAAAATTAAAATTAAAAAAAGGCAATAAGAAAGACAAAAAAGAGCATAGAACAAGTTGAACAAACAGAAAGCAAACAGTAAGAGGGGTAGATTTAAACCCAAATATATCAGAAATTACATTAAGTATAAATGTAGTCAATTCTCCAGTTAAAATGTAAAGATTGTCAGACTGGAAAATAACAATGATATGTACTACTTTAAAACATAAGGATATAAAAATGTTGAAATACAATGATGGAAAAATATATACTACGCAAACAATAACCAAAAGAAAGCTGATATAGTTTTAATATTTCACACAGAAGGAAAAAATAAGTTGAAAGGACATTTCATTAAAGTTAATGAAAGGCTCAGTTCACTGGGAAAATATAACAGTTCTTCTAATTTGCATCACCTACTTACACAGCCTCATGTATAGAAAGCAAAAACTGGAAAAATAAAAGGAGAAATAGACAAATCCACAATTGTGTGATATTTAACATACCTTTCAATAACTGAGAAAACAATTATTTAAAAAAAATCAGTAAAGATGCCAAAGATTTCAACAACATGGTTAATAAATACAACCATGGTTGATATTTAGAGAAATGCACTCAACGACTGTAGAACAGACACTCTTTTCAATTCTATCTGAAACATTTATAAACGAAGATGATCATAAATATGCTGGGTCATAAAGCAAGTCAAATAACAAATGTCCAAGGACTGAGATAATTCAGAATACCAGCAATGACCATTATGCAAATTAAGCTAGACATCAGTAACAAAAAACCCAAAAAAGCTCCATATACTTGGAAACTAATAAATATACTTCTAAATAATGCATAAAAGAAATCAAAATGAAAATCAGAATATATTTTGATGTGAAAAATAATTTAAATCGTATATTACGAATCTTTTTAGATAAAGAAGTCAAAACCAGGCTTAGAGGGAAATTTATTTCCTTAAATACCACAGGTGAAAAAAAAAATGTATACACATGACTGGAATTCATCTTTTGTTATCAGTATATATTGAGTATTACAATTTTAATACAGTTTTTTTCCTTTCTTAAAATGTGTATACATTTTTTTGGCACCCTCTGTATATATTAGAAAAGAGGCTGGAAAAAATATCAATGTACTAAGGTTCCAACTGAAGAAATCAGAAAGGGAACTGCAAGTGAGTCTCAAAGAAAAGTAAAAGGATGAAAAAAAAAACCAATAAAATAGAGAGCATATATACAATAGAGGAGATCAATAGTCACAAACTGGTTCTTTAAAGATATTAATACAACTGAAAATCCTGTCAGACTAATTAAGAAAACAAGAAGGCACGAACAGCAATTACCAGGAATGAAATGGAGATGTCCATAAATATCCCAAGAGGTGTTAAAAGTTAAGTGGAATATTATAAACTTTTTGCAGTACATTTCAAACTTTAGATAAAACAGACATAGTCTTAGAAACATACTTCTAACCGAAACTAGAAAATCTGAGTATTCCTTACATCTACTAACGAATTTGAATCTGTAATAAACTTTCCTATAAAGAAAACTCCAGGACTACTCAGCTTCCCAGGTGAATTCCATCAACCATTTAAGAGCAACTGATAAAGGAACACTTCTCAATTTCTCTTATGAAGTAATATAACCCTGATACCAATACTGAACATGAACATTATGAGAAATGAAAATTACAGGTCAATCCTATTCATCAATAGAGATGGCAGAGAGGGGCTGGGGAGGAGACTATCACAATGAATTTGTGAAAGCTGGAAAATAAATGATGAGGATCATAGTCAAGAAGTCGGCTCTGGGGTTCACAATGGAAAAAGCCAAGATGTAAATCAATTCACAGTATGCAATCCATAAAAGGCTAAAAAATAACAGCACAAGGTACTGCTAGAAATTGGGTTTAAGATGGGGTTAAAAACAGGACTGGCTGAAAGTGTAATCAGAAGCAGTTACTTCCCTAGATCTTCTTTCAACTCTGAACATGGCAGTAAATGCACATTCCACAGTCTGACAGGCCAGAAGTTAATTCTCTGGAAAGGGTACAAAGGGACTCTATGGGACTAGGGGCAAGTGGCACAGCTGTAAGTAGGGGTATCATATGCAAAAAAGGGCAATTAAGCAAATGTATGGAATACTGGACACTGACACTCCCCAGCTCATTAGTTCCACTGGACTCCCAAAATGCTGACAACCAGGTCTTCACTTTACGAGGAGGAGAGAAAAAAATCACTTCTAGGGAATGAGACCAGCTGAAGAGCAAAAAAGCTAAAGACATCAAGAGTTCTGCACAAAATGGCCCACACAGATCATTTTATAAGCATAACCACCCAGAGAACTTCCAATCAACTTTTTAATGTTCTACTATAAAATGACAGCAGACAATCAAGGATCACTAGACATTAACAAAGTTTCTAACATGAAAGTTGGAGACAAAAGTAACAAACAGAAAAAAAAACCTTGGAGAAGACAGAGACCAGGAAAAGGAGTCTAAATAAAATTTAATATACCCAAACTATTCTCAGCATAAAAAAACTAGAGCATGAAGTTTTAAAAACATAACAAAGAACCAAAAACATGATATAAGAAATAAAAATTTTTTAAAAATTCAGTGGCAAGAATAAAAGATAAAGGTGAGGAAATCTTTCAGAATATACAAAAAGATAAGGAGTTGAAAAACAGAAAATGCAAGAAAACTCGAGAACTGTCCAGGGGCTCTTATATTTATTAGCACCACACTCTAACCAACTGAGCTAACTGGCCAGTTGCTGCTCTTATATTTAAAACATAAGACTTTTAAGAAGATAAAGAAAAAAAAAACTGAGGGCAAGCAGTTTTCTAAGAAACAGTTCAAGAAAATGTCTCAGAACTGAAAGTTTCCAAATTAAAAAGGCCCACAAAGTATCCAGCATAATGGATAAAAACATCCTCACTGACCTACATCATTGTGAAATTCTGGAAAACTGAGAGTAAAAAAAAAAAGATCCACAAGATCCCAGAAAGAAAAAGGAAGTTCAAGATCCAGGACAGGGAATCTAACACAGAGAGGGAGAAAGAGAACATCCAGAATAACAATAAAAGCACATCTAAAGATACTCAGAGCAACAAATCTAGAATAAAGGCCAAAAAGCTCCAGGAAAGACTTCTGCAAGATGATACTAATAGAATTCCATTTTGTTTCAACACACTTGGAAAAGTGGAGGTGGAATTAATAATAACAAAAATAAAAAGAAAGCAAATGAAACAAGACAACATAAATATATGACTCAGCTGTGACTACAATTTAAACATCCATGAATTATGATACTGGAAGGCTGGGTGGTGTGTGTGTATGTAGTGGAGCACAAGCGGAAAGAGTAAAATTTTCATTTTTCATAGTGGAAGTCATTAATAGAGTGTAAAATAGAAAAATTTAGAAGCAGGAATACAAGCACATTACTTAGAGAAATGGAGGTATATGCCAAAAGAATCAGCTAAAAGTATAAAAGTAGTTTCTTTGGGCAAGGAGTAGGGGTTAAAAATTGCAAGGCAATTGGTTTTTGTAACAAGCTTTGCAGAAATGCTTGAGTTTTCTAAACAACGTGCATGTATAATTTTGATAAAAACAAGAACTGCATTTTAAAAAGGTAGAACACTTACCAATATACTTTTCTTGCTTTTTGAATAGAGGTAACAGTTTGAACTTCTTTTAAGGTTTGCTTTGTTTTCTTTTCTGCTGATTTGAATGCCTATTTATTAGAAAAGAGGTTTTAAATAATTTGTTGAGAATTTGTTTAAATTTATTTAAATAACACCAAGTAAATGATGGGGCAAGAAATAATTTTTTTAATATCATAAAATAGCATTATACACACACACACACACACACACACACCATACACTCATGAAAGTAATGAAAAAATGAAAAGATTGGTGCCTTAAATATTAAAATAATTTAAATAAAAGATTTACTGTTTACAAATATCTGCTCAAGACCTATGAATTAAAAAAAGTACAGTATCACTCATTTACCAGATACTAAATGCCCACCATATAACAGGTTCTGGGCTACAACAACAGTGTAAGGGAGACAACAAGTGAACAAGAGAAAAAGTTCCCACCCCACTGGGCTCTAGAAGAAACAATTATAAAACACATAATTATTCAAATCACACATATGGTAAGTGTTTCTAAAGATGCTATGGGAGTATATCAAGGGAACCTAATTTATAACTGATTATGGCTAAAGAAGATATTTCTGAGAAAATGGCATATAGGCTGAAGCCTGAAGGATTGAAGGAATGATCGAGGCAAAGAATAGAAAACAGAGCACTGTAAGCAGCAAGGCCAGCCTGACCAGCAAGTAGTGATCACAGGGTAAAATGTCAAGAAATGAGGTTGGAGAGGTAGACAGAGGGCTAAGTCAGGAAGGCCGCTCATTTAACAGCCATTAATGTGACTATGCTCTAGGCAATTTCCTAGGGGTTGCGACAGCAGTGAACCAAAGATCCCACTTTCATGAAATCTACATTTTGGAGGGAAGACAGAAAAACATATGTAGGGAGGAGTGTTTTTTAAGAAGAAAAACAAAGCAGAGTAAAAAGGGAGTGATGGAGGGTCCTACTATTTTTAGTAAGAGCGGTCAAGAAAGGCCTCTCTGATGATGTCCCATGTATGCAGACATGTGAATGAAGGGAGGGATCAAACCATGGAAATTTTGAGGGAAGAATGTTCTTGATAGAAAGAGCACCAAGTGCAAAGGCCCTGACAAGGCAGCATGGACCGCTGTTGCAGGAACAGCTAATATCCCAATGTAGCTGGAAAGAGTGTAACACGAGTGCAAGGGATGAGATCAGAGGGGAGCAGATTAGGTAGAGCCTTGTAGACCAGGATTAGGGCTTTGGATTGTCTTGAGTAACATGGGAAGCTACCGAAGATTTTGAACACAGAGAAATGACTTCATTTTTTATTTAAAAGGATCACTATGGCTGCTGTGTGAAGAACAGACTATAGCGGGGAAAGGGTAGGAGATGGACCCAAAGAGGCTACTGTTAGTCATAGAGAACACAGATGATGGAGCCCTGTGCTAATGAGAAGTGGCCAGATTACGGTTATACTCTAAAGGAAGAGCCAAAAGGATCTGCTGATGGGTTGGATATGGTTTATGAGAGAAGAGTCCAGGATGATTCCTACATTTTTAATCTAAGCAAAGGGAAAAATGAAGGTGCTATTTACTGAGATGGGGAAGACCGGAGAGGTGCAGGTTTGGGGAAGAAAATAAATACTGGAAATACATTTAAAACAGAATTAAGTTCAAATATTTCTGAATTAGAAAACCTCTTTAAACAGAAGAAATAATTAAGGCCATTAAATTAGAGAAAAACATTTAACATTCACTCTAAGAAATACTAAGTACCTTCTCGGCAGCTTCAACAGTCTTTTGTGTTTTCTTAGCAGCATATCTCTTGTGATCATAATACCTAGAAAAACATAATTCTTTTAAATTTTAAGTAAAATGTCTATTCTTTAGTTTTCTATTTGTTATTTCTAATTTTATAGGCTTTCAAATCATACAGAACAAGTTTTGTGTGTTACGCAACTTTTTTTGTACGTTCCATATTAAAATAAAGTTGTAGGATGCACAAAATGAGATTTTAAAAAAGAATATGCTATTTGAAATTTCCAGAATTACTATTTTGAGAAACAGTAATTTCTGTATTCTTACAATAAATATAATTTTAAAAAACACCCCACCCAAAGTATTTTCACCCCAAAGTATACACAGGCAAAACAATGATTTTTCTTACCCTTAATACCCTGCGTTATTGCAGATAATATTTTACCTAAAATTTATATTTTTAAGTTTAAGACTTACTTTTTGGCATTGGCATATGCTGATAAGCTGAGATCAACATCAACAAGTAATGGCCTATTTTTCTGAGGCTTCTGCAGTTGTTTATTCTTTTGCTTTTTCTTTTTTCCTTTTGGTTGTTCAGTTTCAATTTTCTCAACATTGATGTCACCATCAACATCTTCATCTTCATCCTCTGATAACAAGTACGGATTTCTATTAAAAATATTCAATAGTATTTCACTAACGTCAATGACATCACTTTCTTATTTTCATTTTTTTTCCTCAATGGAATCATAAATGGGTTACAGTATTTAGTTGTATTATTTTACTGTAAATGAATGTTTTCTGTATTATTGAGGACAAATTTCCAAATAAAAGAGAAAAAATTTTAATGAATACAGCAAATAATTACATAACAAAGTAAAGATAAACATTTAACTGCTTAACTAAGAATCAAACTTACCTTAGCAGCATTGTAACATGATTCGTTTGTAATTTTAATTCTTTGATTGCATTTGCAACGGGATCTCCTTGAGCTTGGGCTTCTTTCACAATTACCCCAATTTCTGTCCAGTCTATCTGGTTGGCTAAAGCACTTCGAACAACCTGAATAGCTCTGTCAACTATTTGCAGGTTCATTTCTATGAGCTCTCCTTTAAGTTTATCTATTTCCTTAAGAAATAAACCAAAAACATTTACTATAATGTCAGTTAAAGTTACCATTTTTGAAAAAGCATCTGAAAAATCTAAACAGAATACCTGAGCCTGTTGAAGAGCTTCTAATCTGTTTTCGTGATCCTTTCGAACATTATCTAATTTCTTCAATGCTTGTTTTTCCTTTTGTTAACAAAACAGATTTTAAAAAAATTAGATTTCATCTATTTCCGGCACCTTTTCTCTCTTACCTCCTGAAACTCACTATCCTAACCCCCACTTCTGCCCCCTCAATGCTGTCACCTAGCTAGCAAAGTTCCCCAGGTCTATCCTACCACAAAGTGTTTCATGCTCCGAAATTATCTCTCCTGTCCAACCACCTCCCATTCCCTACAAAGGAAGGTATTTTGATTACAGGTTACATTACATGTAAGATGTGTTCCTAAAGCCCTTGCATTATTCAAGAAGGCAGATTTTAAGACATTTTCTTCCTATGGCATAAAAGTCAAGTTTGGGGGAATGTATTCTTAGCATACATTACCAAAATAGCTTCTTTTTATTTTATTACTACCTTTAATTTTCTTAGCATTATTTCTAGAATTTGCAGATTACTCTTTCTCTTAAATTCACAAAGCCTCATGGTAGTCATTTGACCTTCTATATCATTTTATCATATATAATTTACACTTCAAAGATGTTGATTTTGAGCCAAATTTCCTATCACTAGTAACAGCATTACCAAATAAGGAATGTAGTATTAAAAGATTTAAATTATAAGAATGGTGACTATTAAAAGAATGCAAAATGATTACTAAAATCATTCCTGGTATTCTAATGTACATAAAAAACATGGGCTGCACGTCACTGCTAAATACATTTGCTAGCTAAAGTGCTGCCACCATGTGGCAATCACACTATTGAATCCATCTGACCCACCTGCTTTGAAATTGTGCTTTTGTTAACACATTGTTTTCGGGAAACGAGTAAACTCGTCGTATAGAGAAAAATGCCCGCAAACAATGTGTTACTTAATTTTTTTATAAACTGAGGTGAGGGAGGATACAAAGAGTGACACAATTTCAAATTTTGCACCACATTTTAAGACTCTATTAATATTTTAGAGTAATCACATCCTCTTCAAATCCAGAGTAACTGTGACCAATTTCTAAAACTGTTCTGCAGCAAATGTTCCCAGAACCATGGTTATATGTGCTGGGAAACACAGCATATTAAAACCTCCTTGTGGAGTCATGATACACACAAAGCATATTAAAGACCTAGTTTAAATGTCCACTTTATTTGTACAGAAAAAACTATTCCCTCTCCTTTGGTCTATTTAAAATCTCCTCAGAACAGTATTCCCTTAACATTGGCAAAGTTTAAGAAGCTTTGGGATGCTGTAATCAAGTAAACCATATTAGGGTATAAACAGGCCTCATCTTCCCACTGTATTTTCCATTTTAAAGAATACTGGACATGGTGAAGGAACAAATGAGGGTATGCTTTTTAACACTGAGACCCCTCCGACCTTTATCAATAAACCAAGAGATGGGGGCATTCCCATACACTTCTGAACGGCTACCCATTCCTATACCAAAGCATCATCTACCCAGCAAAGCATACTAAGGCTAGTTGGCTTAACAAAAATGCTTTTAATAATACCATACCTGCTGTAAAGCTTTTAAATCTATTTTCTGACCTTCTATCTTGGAATAAAACTCATCCACGGCCTTATGAAAAAAAAACAAACAACAATAACTAGTTGAAAAAAAATATGGTCTCTACTTCAACTTACATACACAGAATTTTAGGGTCCATTTTGTTCATAACACCACTCAAAGAATTTGAACAGATTTCCAGTAAATGTACTATATAGCTGAATAATCAAGGGTCAAATTAAGTTTAAATCTTTGATCCTTCACCTTGAAATGAAGTACTAACAAATGTTTCTAACAGTTTGTATCTATGATTGCACTGTTCTGTAATGCCCAGGTTTATAGTGATTGTAAAGCAAAATTATTTTCAATTTCTCAATCAAAGCAAGTTATTAATTTAATAACTCATATCATGCTAACTGATCAAAAAATAGAATCTGAAAACGCACCTTGTCAAATGATTCAAATTCTATATATGGACATTGTGAATGTTGAGAAAACAAGAAAGGATGAAATTCCTCATACCTGTAAAACATATTTATTATATCACATTCAAGAACATTAATAAACATCCAAAGTAAACTGACTCATGCCTGCATGCTTACGTGAGTATGTCTTCAGTTGGTTTATCCATTTCCAGGCTTGGTTTCACTTCTCTTTTCTGAATGATATACCCCTATAAAAATCCAACATTAAAATTCATTTCTATCATAATTAGCAAAGATTGACTTTCCATGACTGATATTAATTCAACTTATAAAATTATTCCAGTTATAAGTTATCGACTGCATTTGTCTATTGATTGTATCACTTCTCAAAATAATGCTTTTTAGACTCAAAGTATTATTAGAAAATACTGGTTTATTCACACAGACAAGAAAAAACAGGGAAAAAAGGAAATGAAAACTAGTAATTTGATAAAATGGTGGAATTATGCATGTGCAGTGTGCTTTTGTCTTTCTATTTTTAGATATTGTGCCACTTAAAAAAGGCAAAAGCACTTCCAGCAGAAAAACTCTTAAGTTCAGTTTGTTGGTAGGAGATTTTAATTCATTTTAAAAACTGGGAAGGTATATTTGGACTGAACTAAGCTATAATTTTACAATTAATCAAAACCTTTTCTGAACCTTTTTTGCAAGTAAAGTTATACTTTGAATAGGGAAGGAAAACACTCATAAGATATAAGGTAATTTAGAGGGTATTTAACTATTAGAAGGATATAAATCACCAAATTTCTGAAAAGTACTGGCAAATTGAAATGTGCTTCTTTATCTAAAAATAACCTAAGAAAAAATATTTTCAAATTCCTCAACTTTTTTGGAGTGCTCATGTTGACTTGACCTAGCAGTACTTTCCATAAAAGGGAAAAAGCAGAACAAAAATTACAAACCAACAGCAATAAAAAATAAAAACTACCCTAGAATAAGCATATTACAGATGTCAAATTTCCAAACTACAACAAAAAATTTACATGTATCGATCCTTTAATGAACATTTAAATTCTGAAAATTTAAATAAATAAAACCACCAGAATATACAGTAATATACAGTAGGTATATCCAGTGCTACCTTTCCACTGAATTCGGATGTTGTTTTCATATAGTCTTCTGCTTTCTGCAGACAAACAAGTACTTTTTCAATATCTAACAGAACAAAAAGGAAAAAAAAAGTGCTAATCAAGTATCAATGAACTATTATTAAACAACTACGTAGTACACAAGAAAGTACTTATGAAATAATAAAAGTGTTCAAGAAAATTAGAAACAGTTATCTCATGTTTGTTATCAGTAAGTGTAAAGAAGAATTTTTTTTTTTTTTTTAGGATATGTTTTAACCAGCCTGTTGTACCAATGCTTTTTTTTTTTTTTTTTTAAAGATTTTACTGGGGAATTGGGGGAAGGGAACAGCGTTGGGGAATCGGGAAAGGGGAACAGACAAGTTGCTGTCCTTTTGTTCTTCTGTCTAGTTGTGGAGGATGTTGCTTCACTGGCCCATGTTGGTATTATCATAGCGCTCTTCCCAGGTGAGGCAGTCGCTCACCGGCAATTGGACGACCGCTCATGACGGCACACGGCAGCTCACGCCAGCTGCCGGCCAGCCCCACTGCAGCCTACGCCAGTGCGGCGACTCACAGCAGCCCAGCTGCAGGTTGAGCTGTTGTTCACCATCTTAGCTGTAGAGGGCTCAGCGTCACTGTCTCGCATGTGGGATCCGAACCGTGGCCCTACTGCTCAGAGCTGGCGTCCGAAGCCAATTCCCAACCAACGCGCCACTCGGCCAGCCCCCCCAATAGCTTTTATTGAATCCATTTTTCCCCTCAAGATCTGAAAGGCACTTTGTCCAGATACTAAATTTCCACATATATTTGGGCCTGTTTCTAAATTCTTTATTCTGTCTATTCCTTCTCTGAAAACTTAGTGTTTTATTAGTATAGCTTCGTAATGTATTTTAATCTGTGAAAAGGTTCTTTTCTATCATTACTATTATCCAGTTTCCCTGAACATTTTCACATGCTTTTATTCCATGTGAATATCAAATTCATTTTATTTAAAAAAAAAAAACCATTGCAACAGCAAAAACAACAGTATTACCTGTTGACATTTTTATCACAACTTCACTGAATTAGTATATTTCAGAAATTATTCACTAAAAATGTTCAATTGTATTTTGAAACCAAAAATTTACAGTATAAAAACTGTCCCAATACTTTACAAAATATTTAACCCAAAATATAAATATCAAGAATGATTATTTTAATTGTACATGAGAATCTACATACAAAAACTGGTCAAAAATTAAATCTTCCGTTTTCCTAATACTTTTTCTAATTTTTTTATCATTCTAATCTGGCAAAGTTAAGTTAGATTCCCTTAAGTAGTTACAACTCTAATTTATCATACAGTCACACTAAGTATTACAGAATTAAAATGCATGAATGCTGCTATTTCTAGAAGCACTCCAGGTTCTGAGTAAAAAGGTGAGTAATTCAGCTCTTTTAAGCCTGTACCAGACACTGTCTCAAGGTCAGTAACCACTTCAAAAACTTAGGGAGAGGGAGGGAGAATATTCTAAAATTGAAAGGTAATAAGGTAGGTCAAGAAACTGAATTACGTTATTAGGGATAATATGCCAATTTAGAGTAGGAAGCTAGTAATACTACATGGATAGAACACTCAAAGGTCCAACGTTTTTAAAGTTTCGAACTACCTTCTCATTTATTACTTTCACAAATATAATTTTCATAGTTTAAAAAATAAATGAAAATGAACAAAACTTATACCATGCAGACATACCTTTACTTTCAAGTTTTTCATCCACTTTGACATTGCCAGAGAATCCATTTTGTATAAGACAGTGCTCAATGAGAGCTGATCCATAGGCTATAAAAATAAAGGGGGGTGGGGAGGGGGAAAGAGGGTATTATTTTTATTATTTTCCCATAAAATTTAACATTCAAAATATAAATTTATATCCAATATTAATGATCTACTCAATAACTGTAGCCAGTAAAAATAACAATTAGTTTACTTATTTTGAAATGTTATTAGAAATAATTCAATAAAATCGTAGAAGTCAGTGCAAAAGTTACAGGAATTGAATGAAATTTAGCCACACATAAAAAGGATTATAAACCAGGAATGCAAGGTTGGTTTAGCACCCCCAAACTAGTTAATGTAATATATCATAATAAAGAAAAAACAGAAAAATCCAAACTTACAAATTTTATGTGTGCTATACTAACAGTTGGAAAGTTTCCAAGATAAGTTTTTAATGCATTCTAATTTCATAGGAGAGGAAGAGTAACTTCCTAATGCTCAGTAATTAAGGGGACCTGCCTACCAATATGTCCTTTTCAGATTCCTTAGCATAGGGATAAGTGATGATCTTCTCAAGCATAAAAGTTTATTGGATTATCTTTATCCTGTTTATCAAAAGTAACTGGCATCCTGTGATGCCCTGAGACACACTAATTTAAAAAACAAACGAACAAAAAACACAAGCTAAGTGGTTATTAAACTGAAGAATTAAAAAAAAAAAAGATTTCTTAGAATACTACAGCTAGCACTAAAGTGCTAAATTATACTTTTAGTTTACATAACCGTATTGCTTTTAAATAAAATTTAACGGACAAAGGTCAAACTTCATTTGATGTAACAAATTTCTCTTTCCTTAAAATGAATTCTTATTTACTCAAAAGATCATTTTAAATTCATTTCCACAGCTATCAAATTGTTCTAATTTTCCACTAGAATTATAAAAGATTTAAATAGATTCCTGAAAACTACACTATCCTACAAACATTTCATTGCTCTATGGAGTAGTACTCACGAAGTACTGGGTTAAGAACTCTCTTCAGTAGTTCACCCTTAGGAGCACTGGCTATTATTTCAGTCAATCTGTGAAACAAAATTGACACACTTCTTACTATCTTATATTTAATAAATCTTATGGCAATATTTATATTCACAATACTTTCATACACATCAATTCACATGATCTTCACAATACTCTAAAATATAAGAGGTATTAGTTCATTTTGTAGGTAAGAAAATGGGTCCTAAAATTAATTTATCCACGGTTATTAGGTTCTTAAAACAGCAGACTGGGATATGAAACCAGGTTTTCTAAGAAAAAAAATCAATACTTTTTCAACAAAGTCATGCAGCTTACTGTCAATGAGCCCATATATGACATGACATTTTTATATAACAGTTAAATGTTATATGTGGAGACAAATGGCTTTACCCACTTAAGCATTCAGTAAGAACTCAGGATGCCGTGGTTTCCAGACCAGCAGCACCAATAGCACCTGAAAACTTGTTAGAAACGTAAATTCCTAGGCCCTATCCAGAGCTACTGATTCAGAAATCTGTTTTATTGAGCCTTGCAGGTGATTCTGATGCATGCTAAACTTTGAGAAGCTTAGCCTATTAGTCAGCAAAACCTTCCAGCTAGAAGAGTGCAGCTACAGTTAGCACCATATCCCATCCTGCTCTTTTCTTAGCTAAACCAGAATTTCTATCTCTTTGCATTTTGCCCAAGATACCCACTTGTCTTCCCATAGAACAGCTGAAAAACCCCCTCACTTTACCAAGAAATCATAAACATCTGAAGTAACACCAAATTTAGATTAAAAAGACATATATTTGCTACTCTCAAATAAGGCTTAATGGCTTACATGCACATTTATGTAGTTCAAGTAGTCCAAATTTAATTATTTTATTCAAGTAAACAAAATATTTTCTTATGACAATTCTTCCATTCTGACTTATGGCTTAATTTTAACTTTTAATACAATACGAAATGAGTTTATAAACAAAACATGTTACCTTTCCAAGGTAAGCAAAGGTTCAACAGGTCTAGCATGATCAACTGGATAGCGTTCACGAACAGCAAATTTAACATCATCTGACTCATCAGTTCGAAATCTTAGGATATTTAAAATCAGGTACTCGTAATCTGTAAGAACAATGTTCCCCTGTAATAGAATAAAATATAATTTAATGCCTTTCCCAAATCATTCTTGAAACTTCTTAAAAATTGAGAAAGAAAATATAGTCTCTTAAAAACCTTATCAAGGCTACAGAAATGAAGTTACAGAAAGCATTTGACCTTGATGACCATCATATGAGCTTACTATTGCACTTCCATGAGGCAGGTCTACAAACACTGTGGCTTATTAGGAAAAACAGTTAGAACAGATACCAAGCAAACAACAATTTACAGGCATACCTCAGATATTGCAGGTTTAGTTCCAGACCACTGCAATAAAACGAGTTGTAATCTTTTCACTGGTGGAAGGTCTTGCCTTCAAGTTGTAAAAAAACGCAGTATCTGTGAAGTGCAGTAAAGCGAGGTGCAATAAAATGAGGTATGCCTGTATACTTTCACCTGCATTGTGTCTTTCAATAGCAATTAAAGATAGTGACACCCTTTGCCCAAATAATTCCACACTTGGTAGCCTAATGTAATAAGTCACGTAGTGTAATGTAGCCTAATATAATAAGTCAATAAAACTGAAAGCTACATGCTTAAAGATATTCATTGCAGTTTATTTACAATACATAAAAAAAAAGGAAAACAGCTAAAATGTAAAAATTGGGAAAATTGTTAAATAATTATATATCAACATAAAATATTTAAAAGCCGTTAACTTTTGAAGACCACGTAAAAAAAGTAGAAAACTGTTTACAATGTTAAGTTAAAAATAGCAAGACAAAATAATTCTGTATCCTAGGAAATGGAAGGCAAATATAGGGAAAAATGAAAATATTTAATACAGTTAGGATTAAAAAGATTTTTAAAAATGTAACAATGGGATTCCGGTCAAGATGGTAGAATAGGTAACCACTGGGCTTATCTCTTCTCAGGACTACATCAAAATTACAACTAAACTACAGAACAACCATCGATAATCACCTGAGGTCTAGCTGAACCCAAGCCCTACAATTAAAAACATACAGAAAAAGCCACATCGAGACTAAAATCTCTCAAAGGTTCACAAAACCCAAACAAGCAGCATCTGGCTTCAGAGTGTCCCATATCTCTCGCTGAGCAGCCCTAAGCCCGGCACTAGCAACAGCTGGTCTTGGTTCACAGCTTGACCTCCTGAGGCACCTCCAAGCAAAGCGTGGGTGGTGGACACCTGAGGACTACTTTGTGGCTCATGACAGGTAGCCCTGGACAGGACACAAGCTGCAGCTGAACATGGCCTCTCAGGAGGTCCCGGGGCTGGCACACCAGCTTCAGAGCAAGCCAGAGCATCAACCAGCTACCTCCAAGAGCGACATACCCAAAAGGCAGACTGGGCAGGCACGAGAGCCCTGCTAAAGTGAATCCTGCTCTTTGGGTCAGTTCCTGTACCACAGCTCCTCCATTGTAGTCAGGCCAATTCTCACAACCAATCAGCCCAAAGGTCAATGCCTTCTAATGACATACAAACAGCAACCAAGGCTCAGCTACAACAGGAGGGCACATGCAACCCACACAAGGGACACACCTGGAGCACCTGGCTCTGGAGACCAGGGAGACTGTGCCACTGGGCCCCAAAGGACACCTACTACATAAGGCCACTCTACTAAAACTGGAAGGCATAGCAGCCCTACATCATACATAGAAACAAACATAGGGAGACAAACATGTCCCAAATAAACGAACAGAATAAAACTCCAGAAAAAACTAAACAAAATGGAAACAAGCAATCTACCAGACATAGAGTGCAAAACACTGGTTATAACAATGCTCAATGATCTCAGTGAGAACTTCAGCAAAGATACAGGAAACATAAAAATGGAGATAGAAAACTAAAAAAGAACCAGCCAGAAATAAAGAATACAATAACTGAAATGAAGAATACATTAGAGGGAATCAACAGTAGATTAGATGAATCAACAGATTAGATCAGCAATTCAGAAGATAAGGTAGAAAACACCCAAACAGAAGGGCAAAAAGAAAAAAGAATACAAAAAAATGAGGGGAGTTTAAGGGGTCTCTGGGACAACATTAGGTGTACAAACATTCACATCATAGGGGTACCAGAAGGAGAAGAGAGAAAGGGATTGAAAACATATTTGAAGAAATAATGATGGAAAACTTCCTTAACTTGGCGAAGGAAATGGACATACAAGTCCAGGAAGTGCAGAGAATCCCAAACAAGATAAACCTAAAAAGGTCCACACCAAGACACATCATAATTAAAATGCTGAAGGTTAAAGACTAAGAAAGAATCTTAAAAGCAAGAGAAAAGCAGTTAGTTACCTACAAGGGAGCTCTTAAGACTGTCAGCTGCTTTCTCATCAGAAACTTTGCAGGCCAGAAAGTACTGGAAGGAAATATTCAAAGTGATGAAAAGCAAGGACCTACAACCAAGATTACCCTACCCAGCAAAGCTATCATTTAGAATCGAAGGACAAAGAGCTTCCCAGACAAGAAAAAGTTAAAGGAGTTAATCATCACCAAACCAGTATTACATGGAATCTTAAAGGGACTTCTTTAAGATGAAAAAAAAAGAAAAGATATGAATAAAATATCAATAACTACATATCAACAATTACTTTAAATGTAAATTGGTTAAATGCTCCAATCAAAAGATAGGGTGGCTGAATAGATAAGAAAACAAGACCTTCCCATATGCTTCTTACAAGAGACTCACTTCAGATCAAAAGATACAGACTGAAAATAAAGGGATGGGAAAAAGATATTTCATGAGAATGGAAACAAAAAACAAAAAAATAAAGCTGTGGTAGCAATATTTATACCAGACAAAATAGACTTTAAAACAAGACTATAACAAAAGACAAAGGACCCAGTACTCCCACTTCTGGGTATTTATCTGAAGAAACGTAAATACTACTTGAGGGGATGTGTGCATCCATATGTTCATTGCAGCACTGATAAAAATGGCCAAGATGTGGATTCAGCCTGGGCTGAATGTCCATCGATGGATGAGTGGATAAAAAGTAGGTGGTACATACATACAATGGAATATTGCTCGACCATGGAAGGGAATGGGTTCTTGCCATCTGTGGCAGCATGGATGGACCTGGAGGGTATTGTGCTGAGTGGAGTATGTCAGACAGAGAAAGACAGATGCAATGTGATTTCACTTATATGTGGAAAACAAAGAACAAAACAAACAAACTTAATAAATACAGAGAACATTTTGATGGTTGCCAGATGGGAGGGGGATTGGAGGTGGGTGAAAAAGTGGAAGGGATTAAGAAGTACAAATTGGTTGTTACACAGTAGTTATGGGGATGTAGGGTATAGCATAAGGAATAGTCAATAATATGGTAATAACTATGTATGGTATCAGATGGATTCTAGATTTATTGGGGTGATAGATGGGAGGGGGGTTGGGGAGCAGGGTGAAAAACGTGAAGGCATTAAGAAGTACAAATTTGGGCAGCCAGTTAGTTCAGTTGGTTAGAGCGCAGTACTTATAACACCAACATTGCCGGTTCGATCCCCCCATGGGCCACTGAGATGTGCTTTCCACAACTAGACTGAAACAACTACTTGACTTGGAGCTAATGGGTCCTGGAAAAACACACTGTTCCACAATTAAAAAAAAGAAATAAAGATAGTCATGGGGAGGTAAAGCATAGGGAATATAGTCAATAATATGGGAATAACTATGTATGGTGCCAGGTGGGTACTACACTAGTCAGGGGGATCGCTTCTTAAATTGTATAAATGTCTACCTGTACCTGCTGTAAACCTGAAATTACTACAAAATAATAGTGAACAGTGAATGTCAACTGTTTTAAAAGAGGGTGGGGGAGAGGACAATGAAGAGGAATACGAGGTTCAAATTTCCAGATATAAAACAAATAAGTCATGGGGCTGTAATGTATAGTATAGGGAATATGGTCAATAATATTGTGATAGTGTGGTACAGTGTCAGATGGTTGCTGAAATTATCATAGTGATCACTTCTTTAGGTATATAAATGTTGAGTAACTATGGTGTGCACCTGAAACTAATATATTTTGTTAGCTTTATTTTAATAAAACTCTTTTAAAATTTTAATATTGTTACATAATCTTTTTAATAAAAAAGGGGGAAGCTAATGAAAATAAAACTGCCCAAAGAATACAACCTTCCAAATTTATTACAGTGAAGATGCGTTGCTGTCTAACTAAAATACAAAAAGCATCCATGAAAATAGTCACAAATGTCTTAGTAAGCTTAGAAGTTGGTCACAGAAGATGATGAGAAGAGGCCCAATCTCATCAGGAAGAATATGTTGCAGGATACATGGCTTCAGTAGATAGGGCCACCACTCATCCTGATCAGAGATAGAGATAACCAGAAGTTACTAGGTATTGAAAGAGCAGTACATAACTACTGCTAAATGTTCTGGCTTCAAAGCAGCAGCCATGCATTTAAATTTTTAAAGATCTATTTATTTAAAGAACAGAAAAGTTAACCAGAGAAGGAAATTAAAGAGCTGAGATACAAGTCCTTATTGTCTGGTTCAGGAATATGTGACTTGAAAAACAGACCTGGCCATAGAACCCAGTACATAGAAGGTAATCAATAAATGTTTGTTGAATCAAATTGTGCAGTTATCAAGAACATCTGGAAGATTCCAGTAAGGCAGCTACTTCCTGAAAGGGCTTTCCTTAAACCAAGATTTCCAAAAATATCCTGTAAGATGGCTCCTACTACTCCCATTGAAAAAGAAAAACAGAAAAGGAAAAAAGAAGCCTGTGAGCAAATAAATTTTGGAAATTCTATATAAGATACCCTTCTCTAGGAAATGTACATATCACATTATCATATTAAAGGCACTGGTAAGTCCTAGTTAAATTTTTTTTTACCTTATCCTCAAAGTTCCTAAACTTTTATAACTATGGGACCCATATTTCTAGGGACACCTATGGAAGTGGTGTCCAAGGAACATATTTTGGGAAATATTTCACTCAACTGTCATGTACATAATAAAGCATTTTCTGGTCTTAACTTACTTTCTCCAGCATCTTTTCTACTAGAATCTTCTTCTTCTTTTTTTAAGATTTTATCGGGGAATTGGGGAAGGAGAACAGACAAGTTGCTGTCCTTTTATTCTTCAGTCTAGTTGTGGAGGACGTTGCTTCACTGGCCCATGTTTGTATTATCATTGCGTTCTTCCTGGCTGAGACAGTTGGTCACCAGCCATTGGACGGCTGCTCATGGTGGCTCACGGCAGCTCACAAAACACATGCCAGCTGCTGGCCAGCCCCACTACAGCCTATGCCATCGCCGGCCACTTACGGCAGCCTAGCTCCAGGTAGAGCTGTTGTTCACCATCTTTGCTGTAGAGGGTGCGGCGTCACTGGCCTTCATATGTGGGATCCGAACCGGGGCCCTGCTGCTCAGAGCTGGTGTCCAAAGCCAACTCCTAACCAACGGGCCACTTGGCCAGCCCTGGAACCTTCTTATTATAAATTAATACTCGTAAACTTTCTTGAGTCTGAGTAGCAATAACCTCTTTACCCAAGGCCTGACCAAGTCTAGATAAACCACACATCAAAATTCCAGACACAAAGGCTAGACAATCAAACCCTGATATTGACAGAGGAAAGAGCAATCTTCAAGGGGTACTCGAAGCATCAATCAACCTACCTCTCTGGCTATCAGTGACTACTGAAAATCCCCAAGCACATTCTCTCATACATAAATCCTTAATATCTATTCCAAACTCACCACTCACTGGAAAAAATCTGTATCATGACTGCAGTGCTGGTTACATGAACATACAAATGTGGTAAAATGCACAGAACTATATGCATACAGGGTACCAGTATCAATTTCCTGATTTTGATACTGTACTATAATTATATAAGATTTAACAACTGAAGAAACTGGGTGAAGGCATACCAGACTTCTCTGGTCTATCTTTGCAACTTCCTGTGAATCTATAATCATTTCAAAAATAAAAAGTTTAAAAAAAATATTAAAAGAGAGTATCGTATGAATTTTAAAAATTGACCACCACCTGAGATCACCCAAAAAAACTAATTACAGGTGGGCAGCAGCTGCAGGGGAGGGGAAGGAAAGATGGTTAAAGGCATCATTGGCAAAGGGAAGTGCACAGACAGTTAAAGTGCAAGGATGGGCAGCTGGTCTCACTGCCCCGTCCCACATCCAGGCTAATAACTAACACAGTATGCTCACTTTGTGATAGTTCACTAAATTGTACATTTTTGATGTGTCATACCTCTAATAAAAGCTTTAAATTATTACAAACACGTTGTAAAAACATTCATAAGAAAGAAAAACAAACTTACCTCAACATAATTTTTTTAAATTGCATAGTATTCCATTATTTGGGTTTCCCTTAAATATTTAAGCAAGCTCTTATTCAAAGACATTTAGGTTCTTTTCAAGCTTTAAATATTATAAACACTGTGATGAATGTCCTTGGTATTCTCCTCCCTGGGCATTTGTCTCATTTGCTTATGATAAATTACTGGAAATGGAATTCCTAGGTCAAAGTTTACGCACATAAACTTTAAAAAAATCGTGTTATGTGCTGTCAAATAATCTTCTGAAAATAATGTTCTAATCTGCCCTTGTTCCTCTACATTCTTGCTAGTACTGGTTATTGTCAAGCTTTCTAGTTGTTTATAGATTGATTAAGAAAAGGAAGAAAGGGAGAAAAATACCTTATTGTTTTTATTTTTCAGTATTCATGAATTCAGACATGTATTCATGCTTTTATAAGTCATATGTATATTCTTTTTTGAATTGTCTAGTCAAGTACTTTGCCCATTTTTGCACTTAAGTGCTTTGTGAAAATTGCATCTTAGAGTTATGCACATCTTATTTACAAGTTAAATTTTTTCCCCCCGTTTTTCATTTTTCAATACAGTTCACAGTGTTTTCTGCCTTATGTAGTTTTAAAATTAAGTAGTCTTATCTATCAGTATTTGTTTTCACTGTTAGGCTTAGAAGTCCTTTTCATCCCAAGTTCATCAACCTTAATCCATATTTTCACCTAGTACTTCCATGGCTTCACTTTGTAATTTTTTTTTGTAAATCATCATGATTTGGCTGAATGATATTAATATCAACTTCCTGAAACCTTTTCTGATTCCTTCTATGCAGCAGATCTGCTAAACAGCCATGAGAACATGACTTCTTTGGTTCCTTGCTAACATATGTACGGCATTTAAGAACACAGATTCATTCAAAGTTGGGCAAAGCTGTGGAATTATGCATGTTGTTCCTCTAGGCATTTACATACAGAGAAAGCTTGCTGGAGTGTGGGCCTCTGAATTAATAGCAGCCTCTATTAATACTGCAACTCTACCCTGCCATGAACATATATATTTCTAAGAAGGGCTTTATGCATAATTATTCTTAAAAGATGGCCGGTTTGCTAGCTCTACAAAATGTTAGTTTTGGGGGGTGCAGAAGGGAGTGGTTATGATACAATTCTCTGGCCAGGTGGAAAGCCCTACAACATACTCACTTGATCACATGCCATTTCCAGTTTTCTGAATCACAAGAATAAAAAACAAAACACCATAAAAATTGTACCTAGATTTCTCAACATACATGCCATTTTCCTTGTACCATATCACTTCTAACGCACTTCTCAGTAATTTCTGTCCTAATGAAATAGTATTCTTAGTCTTTATTTGTGTGTTAACAAAGTAGTAGCTGTTGACTATCCTTCTTTCATGAGCAATTAGACTAAAAAGCCAGGCCCGCTCCCCCCACTGAGGATCCTGTTTTAGAGACCTTGATTGATTTTGACAAGTGGCCCTGTGGTCAGTTATCCGGCCACTTGTTTCTTTCTCTTTCTGCATTTTATTTTTTTTAGATTTGGGGGAGACACTACATTGCCATTAAGCTTTTGTCTTTTTTTTTTTAAGATTTTTATTGGGGAATTGGGGGGATGGGAACAGTGCTGGGGAATTGGGGGAAGGGGAACAGACAAGTTGCTGTCTTTTGTTCTTCAGTCTAGTTGTGGAGGACGTTGCTTCACTGGCCCAAGTTGGCACCATCATTGCGCTCTTCTCTGGGGAGGCAGATCAGTCGCTGGCTTCTGGATGGCCGCTCACTGCGGCTGCTGGCCGCTCACGCTGGCTGCTGGCCACACACGGTAGCCCATGGCAATCCACTGCCACAGGGACTGCAGCCCACGCCGTCGCCGGCGACTCATGGCAGCCCAGCTCCAGGTTGAGCTGTTGTTCAGCATCTTAGCTGTGGAGGGCAGTGTCACTGGCCCTCATATGTGGGATCCGAACCGGGGCCCTCTGGCATCCCAAGCGAGTTCTTAACCATCGCGCCACTCGGCCGGCCCTCTTTCTGCATTTTAAAACCCGCTTTTATATATTTGAATGTGTGATGCATATGGAATTTATGTTGCTGTAAGTAGCTCATGAAACATTTCCAAGATAGAATGTGGTGACCAATGGGAGGAGTAAGAGGCAAGAAGCAAAAATCGTGAGGACATCAGTAGCCTTCCTCGTACGACTAATGAGACTATCAAGACATGGAACGTTTTTGAGTCTCAACTGCTATCTTGCTTATGACACAACTGTCTGACTTTTTTAGTTGCATCACACTAGTTCTGAAATGTAAATTACCAGATAATTCCTTCAATTCTCAGATCTTCATCTCCTACATTCATAATGCTATTTTAAATGACTGAGGTCTGCCTAAATATCCACATAAATATCCACATATCCACATAACATGAAGGTTATTACTGAAAAATCATGTTTTACTTGTTTGGCACTTGATTATTATCCTAGTGTATTAATAGTCTAACAGAAAAAAACATTCCACTATTACATGAATAATTAACAATACAATGGTGAATTCTCCTTTATTCCATCCCCCAAATTTAACTTACCCTATCATAGAGCTCAATGATTAAGTGATAAGCAGCTTCATCACTTCCAAATTGAAAATCTACAATTCTATCCACACCAAGCTGTTTTGCACTGACTAATCTCCGACTCTTCAAATGTTTTCGGCACTAGCAAGAAACAGAAGAAAAAGGCATTTAAATGGTAAAAGCGAATTCCTAATCATTTCATACTGGTTTATATATAAGTTTCTTCTTTTTATTACCATCAGGAATAATATTTTAGAAGTAGTAGATAAAATGGTATGGTCATAAAAGCTTACAGATAATCAGAGGAAAAATACTTTGTTTCAGACAACTCTGTTAACTCTGAAGCAGTATTTTACCTTCAATTCTAAGTAGACAAGGATAGACCTATCGAGGAATTTACTTTGTTGCTTTATACCACTGCTAATCACTTGTTCTTGACCTGATGAGATGACCTCACTCAAAGTGGTAATCTTTTTTCATTACATCTGTTTCTACTACAATCTTTTAAGTATCCTAAATTTCCTTTCATGTGCTTGTGTTCAAAATTGATTAACGGTTTCCACTAATCTTCCATTTCAAATACAAATTCTGAACCATGAGCTTATTGGTATTCTATAAATTAGTCCTCTCCAAGCTTTTGATCAACTTAACTCAAATCCAAATGTAATAACTCCTGTTCTTTATTGAATCCCATTCCTCATATCCCTAATCATAAAGTTCTTGTTCTGATTAGCAATTAAGATAAAATTAGCATGTTAAACCTGAATACAAATTACTTGGTAAGTACTTTTTGTTTTAGATTAGTTGTACCATCCTTTAATACAAATATTTAAGTATGACATGGAACAGAAACAGACTACTCTGTAGCCCCTGAAAGATATCTTACAATTGTTTCCAATTTTTGAATTTGACAGACCCCTTAGTGAAGAACAGTAAGAATGCTTTCTTTACTTCAACTCAAATTTAACACAAATTTTGTAAAAGTTAATCTAAAACCACCTTAAAAAAAAGAAATATACAATCATTCTTAAAATTAATGCCAACTCTTTCATAACTAAGAACAGTTCTTCTCCAGACCTGATAGTTCAAATTGACTAAAATTCTCATTTTATGTACTTACATATTCAGGCAGATATAAAGACTTTCCAAGCTTCATAGAATAAAAAATCTCTACCTCCTAATTCAATAGTTCTGATTTAAGGTAACCAGTATGGATTTTATTTAAACAGTGACCTACATATAGGGCTATCTTTAAATCCCCAGGGGAAAATCACAGCCAAGCCTTCCAGAGTCCCCCAGTAATCTTTTTATTCAGGAAAAGTAAAGCTAAAATAAAAATAAAAGCACCCGTGATAGGCACAGAAGTCTGCACCATGGAATGGTGAGAAAAGGAAGATAATTTATCATCGGTAATGGGATGGACATATAATGCGTATGAAAGCTTGTTTTTTTATTTCCCTATTAGCAGTTTGGTGAAAACTACCTTCTGTCAGTGCCACAAAGCTATAGTTAGCATCCTCAGATGTGAGAACTAGAAACAAACACTGTGATTTACCTTATATTGGATATGACTGTTGGTGCCTTACAACAGTAACAGCTCTTTTATTTATAAAGTGCTTAACACTGTCTGCTCCACTGGACAGAATATTTCTACCTGTTTGGATTGACATGTACACCTAATTCATAAAATTCTAAGTTTTTTAGGAGTGTTTGATTTTCTATTGGTGTAGCCTAATTAGGAGATGTTTACACAATCCCAGTATCATCTATTGGGTTGTTGGAAAAGTCATGACACATTTTTGCAATTAAAAACAGAAAAAATACGTCATGACTTTTTAGACAACCCACTATCTTATTGCCTGTTACATGATCTGTAAAACTGAAATAATATTTGTTCTTCATATCCACTGAGTTTTTAAACAACTTAAAATATGCATTACCCATCTACTTTGAAAAGTGTTATGAAAATATAAAGTGTCATTAATTACTATTAAGAACAATCCCCAAAAGAACCCTTCTGGGTTATTATTAAGTAAATAAAACCTTTAAGAATCTGATAATTTTGTGACAGCCCTTGTGATTTGGGAAGCACTTACCTAACTTGTAATCCAAAACAGATTCTAAGTTGCTGGGGATAAGGCTCTTCTCTGTAAAGCCTCTAATGAAATAACACAATGCCAAAACAAATATATTTCTGAAGGAAAGTGAGGAGGAGAGGAAGAAGGAAATTAATACATATGGATTCCTAATATGTGTCAGGCATTGTGTTAGGTGCTTTACATGTTACTTCAATTAATCCTCACCAATAACTCCATGAGGGAGATATTAGCCACATTTTACATTTAAAGAAACTAAGTTTCAAGAGGTTAAATAACTTTTCCAGGTTATAAAATTATTTTGTGCCAAAACTATTAATTCAAAGTTCAGTATATCTGACTCTAACATCTTTCCTCTGTGCCACATGAACTTCCAGTACATCTGTTAAATGTCAATAAGCAAATGGGTAACATGTCCACAAACACAGATTCTCACTTTTAATAGCAAAAACAAAAGCAAAGATTGAGGTAAAAAGATACAATGATTGGTAACATACTAATGTCGTTGAGCATTCCAAGAAAATACAGATTGGTAGCTCAAAAGTGAGCTGCAGAAGCTAAGATTAGGAAAAAGGGTTGGGGGGTTAGGGAGATCATAGAAAGCCAAGGAAGCTAGGATATAGGATATTCAGAAATTAGGGGATCGTAAAATGTTGAGATAATTAATGAAAATGATGCTTTAGAAAAATTAAGGTTAATCTAATACAGAATTGTTTTAATAGTGAGAAGTTGACTACAGTTAAGGGGCTATAAGATTGAACGTTATAAAAGCCTGAACTAGAATACTGACTATGGGAACAGAAAGATTTAGAGCACAATAGGGTGTGAAAGGTAATAGGGAGAAGTCAATAAACATCTACTTTATTCATCTCGGTATCTATCAACTACTCTATGATAATTTCTCTACATTATTTAAAACAGTGAAGGAAAACCAAACAGTTTAAAACTTCAGTTGTGAGTGACCAATCGTAGGGCCTTAAAATTTAGTTTCAAGTATAACTTAATATTTACCTTCATGGCAAAACTAGACGGCATCATATTCTTAGGCCACTCAAATTCTGTCGTGTGAATTCGTATGCCAGATTCAAGTAAAAGTGTAGCTTTAAAGTCTGGTCTGTAGAAGAAAAAAGTCAATTTTTTCTTTAAGGCATTTGCCAAGCTAACCCAGTGAAACAGACTAAGTGCAGGTAAAAAGAAACTGATCATCTAATATTTAATTACCAAAGATAAAACAAGCTGTAAAATGCTCTTACTTTTGAAGACGAATAAGATATGTCTTATTATCCACATCATAAACATTGTTTACTCTCATTCCTAGCAAGCTGCAAAGAGAAAGGAAACATGTAACAAATCATATTACTATTTGAAACATAAAACTTCACACAATTTAAATCTGTCGGTGAAAGCAGAGCCTGCGAAAGGGGATTTTCCGACACTTAAGAAATGGAGTGAGCCAGGGAGCAGAGTCTGAAGGCCATGGGGCATTCAGCCCAAAACTTAAGTGTAACTAAGAACAAAAGTAGTTTATCAGCTCTGGGAAGACCATACAATACCTAGCGACTTTGAAATGACCCAATGTTTTTTAGAAAATACAATCTAATCCACTTAATTTATTACAAAAGAAAAAAAAAAGGTAAACAAGGCCATGGGAAATAAGACAACGTGCACACAACTAAGTAATAAAAAAGCGGACTAGAATCCCGATCTCAGGCCAAATCTGTTACGTCCAGCTAAAACGGCGATGCACCCTTTCTTTGGGGCGAGGGAGACTGTCAAAGTAACCAGGCCTCCTGTCTGGAAATCTCTAGAAGAGCAAATGACTATTCTGGCGTCTTGGCGTCCACCTGGCAACTCGCGTTTTACTAAACGTCTGCGGCCAAACCAGGCGACTCAGGCCGAGAAAGCGCGAGTCCCGCCACAGCCGGACCGTAGACCTGGCGAGACCAGGAGCCCCGCAAGAGCAGGGGGGTGGGGCACGCAGCCGCTGGGATCCCCCAGGTATCCGGCGGGCCACGGAACGATGTCACGCGATCGCCCACCCAGGCCTAGCCAGGTCCACAGAAGAATGGCACAGGTGAGAGTATAGGGAAACATCGGGCTGGTCTTATTTTAGACCGTGGAGCCTGGGCCTCTGTCTCCTGCATTCCCCGCATGAGCTTGGTCACCTGTGGTACAGTACCTGGCATTCAGCTCCGAGAGTACGGCGCGGATGTCAATGGTGCTAAACCGGGTCTTCATGGCGAGATTTGAGTGTCGCTACCGCAGTTTTCACCACGGACTGCCTGACTCTATGCCGAGAGGCTTCTGCGCAGGCGCACTTGGTGGAAAATCTACGGCTGCGCACAAGACCCAATATTCCTTGGAGCGAACGTGTTTCCGTCACTTTCCGGAAGAATTTGGTTGTTAAATCGCCGTCAGCTCGTTTTTCGTAGTACCGAAACAATTCGAAATAGATCCAAACTATTCTCTTGAAACTGTATTCCTTCCTGGAAAGCTTACGGACTAGTGCGGTTACCTTGCTCTCTTGCATTTCGGACTCACGCCGGCCTCCCTAGTGACCCCTGCTGGTCGTAACAATTTTCGAGGAACGAACCTTGAAGATTTACCCAGATGGGCCGTAGGGTCCTGCGTTTAAGAGCAAAGATCCCCTTCCATTCGGTTACTACCACGTGTAGAATTTTGAAAGGTAAGAAGCGGAACTGTATCACTCACCCTGTAATTATCCTCAACAATCAAGGCGAACTAGTCTCCAAAAAGGAGTTCCTATTTTGATGGGTCTTGCTCTACGAAGGAGCGTTCTGTCGAGTATTGTGGGATTCTCGATCTTGGTATCTTCTTGGCTCACCGCAGTACCTGGGAAGCAACAGGGGCTCTGTAAACGCTTGGCAGTCTGAATATTCAAGTGTTTCTCTAGATAATGAAGTAAGACAAAAATAAAAATAAGACAAGATTGTCCCACCATGAGGGATTCATAGCGAAGGGAAAGAACGTGCAAGAATGTAAATAGGGCACCTTTTGTCAAAACTCAAAAGTGAGGGAGTCTCGCTATGTTGCCCAGGCTGGAGTGCAGTGGCTATTCACAGGCGCGATCCCACTACTGATCAGCACGGGAGCTTTGACCTGCTCCGTTTCCGACCTGGGCCGGTTCACCCCTCCTTAGGCAACCTGGTGGACCCCCGCTCCCGGGGGGTCACCATATTGATGCCGAACTTAGTGCGGACACCCGATCGGCATAGCGCACTACAGCCCAGAACTCCTGGACTCAAGCGATCCTCCAGCCTCAGCCTCCCGAGTAGCTAGGACTACAGGCGCGCGCCACCGCGCCCAGCAACAAAGCCGAACATGGGAGGATTGTCGAGCCTACGTGCTGGAAGTGGTAGCAACGAATATTCCCACTAGCAGACGCAGCTCTAAGTAGAAAGGGCACGGTTGTCACTTCAGAAGAAACTGAGAATTGTAGACGCTAAGGGGGCTGCTAATAACACATATGGCACACTAACTCACGTGGAATAGCTCAAAATATGAAATAAACCATTTGGAGGTTTTAGTAAAGACTGGGGGCCAAGATGACTGTAGTCCAAATTGTAAAAGTGAGAGATCTAACATAAACAACATTAAAGTTTTTATATTGGCTCTGAAGGTATTCCCAAAAGCATGCCTACATATTTTGCATAAAGGCAACCCATGTAGAAACACCACATCTGAAAGGGACAACACTCAGGTGCTACTTTAAAAACAAAAACTGAAGTTCTTTATAGCAAAAACTCCCACTTTAGAGCCCTAGACCGATAAGCTAGGATCAGGATGCTAATTTAAATTATACATGGGACAGTCAACCCATTGACTAACTCATACATTGCTTCTGCTTTGTCAAGGAAAATGGGCATCAGAAGAAAAATGCAAGAAAATATATAAGAGAAAGAGGTAGATCAAGACAAGTGTAAAAATAACAAGGGAACTTAATCATTTACTACTGAATTATATCATTTCTAATTTTTTATTTCAACATGGTATTCCTTATGAAGCTAAGAATTGATCAACTTAAATAATAGTGGGATGATTAAAATATGGGCTATCTACATACGTTTTATCTTTTTTTAATTTTTCAATTGGAGTTAACATTCAATATTATTTTATATTAGTTTCAGGTGTACAGCATAGTGGTTAGACATTTATATAATTTACACAGTGATTCCCCCGATTAGTCTAGTACCCACCCCGCACTAAACATAGTTATTACAATATTATTCACTAAGTTCCCTGTGCTATACTTGACATCCCTGTGACTGTTTTGTAACTACCAATTTGTACTTCTTAGTCCCTTCATCTTTTTCATCCAGGCCCCCAAATCCCCCCTCTCATCTGGCAACCATTAATTTGTTCTCTGTATCTATGAGTTTGTTTCTGTTTTCTTTGTTCTTTTATTTTGATTTTTTAGATTCCATATACAACTGAAATCATATGGTATTTGTCTTCCTCTCTCTGACTTACTTCACTTAGCATAAGGTCCACCCATGTTGTCACAAATGGTAAGATTTCATTCTTTTTTATGGTGGAGTAATATTCCATTGTACATATGTACCACTTCTTTATCAAATCATCTATTGATTGGCATTTAGGTTGCTTCCATATCTTGGCTATTGTAAATGATGCTGAAATGAACATAGCAATGCATATATCTTTTTAAATTAGTGTTTTGGATTTCTTTGGATAAATGCCCAAGGGTGGAATTGCTGGGTCAGTTCTATTTTTAATTTTTTGAGGGACCTCCATACTGTTTTCCATATTGGCTGCACCAATTTGCAGTCCCACTAACAGTGCACAAGGGCCCCATTTTCTCCACATCTTCACCAATACTTATTGTTTGTTGATTTATTGATAACAGCCATTCTGACAGGTGTGAGGCCATAACTCGTGGTTTTAATTTGCATTTCTCTGATGATTAGTGATGTTGAGCATCTTTTCATATGCCTATTAGCCATCTGTACAAGGTCTGACAATTAAGTTCGCGAACTCATCCTAGAAAAAGTGCTACATACCTCATTGCTGACTATCACTATAGTCACCTTCGAAGAACTCCCCTTGGAAAGCTATGCACTGATGCCAGTACCTAGTCCATCCTTCAAAGCAATTTTGGAATTCTTTTTCTGGAATGGCCATGAGAACTGTGATTATATTACCCTTGATGTCCTGAATCTCATCAAAATGTCTTCCTTTCAATATTTACTTTATCTTCAGGTAAAGAAAAAAGTCATTGGGGACCAGATCAGGAGAGTAAGGAGGGTGTTCCAATACAGTTATTTGTTTACTGGCTAGAAACTCCCTCACAGACAGTGCCGTGTGAGCTGGTGCATTGTGATGCTAGAGCCATGAATTGTTGGCGAAATGTTCAGGTCATTTTTGTCTAACTTTTTCACGCAGCCTTTTCAGCACTTCCAAATAGTAAAGTTGGTTAACTGTTTGTCCAGTTGTTACAAATTCATAATGAATAATTCTTCTGATATCAAAAAAGGTTAGCAACATCGTTTTGCCTCTTGATTTGGACTGATGGAACTTTTTTGGTTGTGTAGAATTGGCTGGCTTCCATTGTGCACTTTGATGCTTGGTTTCAGGGTTGTATTGGTACACCCATATTTCATCACCAGTGATAACACAGCCCAAAACATCGTCTTGCCTCTCCAAAAGGTCTGGGAAAACTTCAACTGTCCTCTGCTTTTGTTCATTAGTGAACTACTTCAGGACCATTTTTGCACACACCTTTCTCATTCTAAGATTTTCAGTTAAGATTTTCTTAACTGTTTCTCTATCGATGTTTATGTGGTCTGCTATGCTTCTCACAGTCAGCCAATGATTTCGACGCCCAGTTCGATGAATTTTTTATTGTTTTCATCAGTTCTGCTCATTGCTAGCCACCCTGACTTCTCTTTATCCGTGATGTGTCCTCTCCCCTCAGAAAAACATTTAATCCATTTGTACACTGCTGCTTTCTTCATGGCATTATCCCCATAAACTTGGACTAACATGTCCCTGATTTCACTTCCACTCTTGCAAAGTTTAACAAAAAATTTAATGTTTCTTTGTTGCTCTAATTCAAGCTCAGACATTTTCACGATGGCACACAAAAACACAGAACAACAATAAAAATTGCCACTCCAAGACACTGCCACTCATTAACACGAACACAGCTGTGAGACACTAATATACCAAGGTAATAAAACCTTACTGAGCTGTTTGTACAGTGCTGCCAATGTAAGCACATGGTGGCAAGTTCGTGATCTTAATTGTCAGACCTCATAGCAATGTGTTTTTCTCCATCTCTGTTAATAAAGACCACAGGAAGCAGTTTGCTTTTAGCTGGCAAGGTTAGCAGTACACTTTCACTGTTCTACTTCAGGGGTATCAACTCTCCAGCTCTATATCATGATTAGTTTCACAGGGGTCTTGATCAGCTTTCCCTTCTATAAGCTATCACATTGGTCCATACACTGATGACATCATGCTAATTGGACCTAGTGAACAAGAAGTAGCAATTACTCTAGACTTATTGGTAAGACATGGTGTGTCCCAGGAAGGAAATAATCTGACAAAAATTCGGAGACCTACTTCAGTGAAATTTCTAGGGGTCCAGTGGTGTGGGATATGTCAAGATATCCCTTTTAATGTGAAAGATACATTATTGCATCTGGCCCTCTTACAACCAAAACAGAGGTACAACGCTGAGTAGGCTGCTTTGAATTTTGGAGACAACATATTCCTCACTTGGGTGTGCAACTCCAGCCCATTTACCAAGGGACCCAAAAAGCTGCTAGTTTTGAGTGGGATCCAGATCAAGAGAAGGCTCTGCAACTAGTCCAGGCTGCCATGCAAGCTGCTCTGCCACTTAGGCCACATGGCCCAGCAGAACCAGTGGTGCTTGAAGTGCCAGTGGCACATAGGGATGCTGTTTGGAGACTTCGGCAGGTCACTACGGGTGAATCACAGTGCAGGCCCTGAGCATTTTGGAGAGCAAAGCCCTGCCAACCTCTGTAAATAACTACTCTTTATTTTAAGAAACAGCTTTGGTTTGCTGCTGGGCCTTGGTAGAGACTGAATACTTAACCACAGGCCACCAAGTTACCATGAGACCTGAGCTGCCCATCATGAACTGGGTGTTATTATTATCTAACCCACTAAGCCACAAAGTCGGGGATGCACAGCAGCACTCCATTATCAAATGGAAGAAGTGGTATATATGAGATTGGACTCAAGTAGGCCCTGAAGGACAAATAAGTATCATGGAGAAGTGGCCCAAATGCCCATGCTCCCCACTC